CTTCAATCAACAATGCGGTTAGTCAGAGACATTGCACAGGAGCATCTAACTGCAGCACAACATCGGCAAAAATACTATTACAATGCAACGGCCAAACCAAGAACCTTCAATGTGGGAGACGAAGTCCTGTTTTTGTCGCCCAACAGAACCAGCAAGCTTCAACTAGATTGGTCGGGACCATGGAGAGTCACCAGAAAGCACAACCAAGTGAACTATGACATCTATGATGAACATTTAAATGTTGAAAGGAGAGCCCATGTAAATATGTTAAAACCTTATGTTGTAAGGTCTGCGAATGTATGTTTTGTTGTTGCGGAAGAAGAATCCGGTCCCTTTTCTTTTTGGGAGGGTGATCGTGAACAGTGTAAAAATTTGGATCGGGTAGATATGAACATAGAATTGTCTAACAAGCAGCATAGAGAGGTCGTAGAAGTGTTAAGTAAATATAGAGGCATATTTTCGGATTTGCCAGGAAAGGTCCAAGGGGTTCAGCATCAAATAAACACCGGTGATGCCACTCCTATAATCTCTCCACCCTACAGGGTTACAGGGAGAATTAATAAATGTATTGAGAAAGAAATTAGAGAAATGTGGGATCCAGGTATTATTGTTCCATTAAGTAGCTCTTGGGCTTCACCCATGGTCTTTGTACAGAACCCAGTTAGATGTAGAGGGTGAGGACAGACTTATTTTGTTTTGAGAAAAAATTGGATAATGCAAAAGGTACGAATAATAAGTTGTTGAGATGGAGTTTGTGTTTGCAGGATTTTGTGTTTGAAATGAAACATGTTTCAGGTAAACGAAATGTAGTTGCGGACGCTTTATCTAGGATTCCATAGGTTAGAGGTTTGTATAAATGTGTAATATAAATGTGTTTAACCATAATATGTTTCCCTTTCAGGAATGTTATGTATATGTATTTATTGTTGAGTAATGTATGAAGTTATTTTTGCCCTTCTAGGACTAAGAATGGTGCAAAAATACTTTTTCTGGGGGGGAAGGTGTAGAGAAGTGTTTATTATACTGTGTTTTAAACTGTGTTTTAGGCTTTACATTGTGGCCATGGCCTAGCTGAGAGAGATAGGTTGCCATGGTGACAAGCCAGAGGAGGTGGGCGGAGCTTAAGTAGAAAAGGTTTGAAAGCGAGAGTTTATTTTCAGTCAGGCGGATGAGACCCTGAGGAGAGTAGCAGAGTCAAGAGGGCTCTGTGGAGTATTGTAAATTCAGTTAGTTCTTAGGTTTTGTGAATATTATTCCAGCTAGGAAGCTGAAG